CTTGTATTTTTTGATTAGCAATTGTATTTGTAGATCTGGGTCTAGTATAGCTAGTTGGCTTTGTAATTCTTTGATATACTGGGTTAGATAGCCTACCTCTATAAAATTACTTTCTTTTAGTTAGCTGGTTCATAGTGCTAGAGATGCTTCTAATTTAGTAAGGCCAATCCTTTACAGTACTTAACAAAAGTTTCTCTGTACCTTTAGCTTTCGCTAGATTATGTGTAGGTATATAAAATTTCATTCACATATAGTACATTGCATATGCAGATTATATTAATATTCTTCGAGCATGTTTGATTGTAAAAATACCTGCTTCAATCATACATAAAATCTTAGCCAAAAAATATTACTCGCTTTACATAAATGATATAAAATCATTTTTTTAAGTATCTATCTGAAAGGCTTCAAGCTTTTAATTTATAAAACAGCAAAGCAAGTTTACTGTAATAAAAGTTTTGTGTGCTATTGAGTAAAAAGGTGGTATGAAACCAAGAATCTAAGTGACAAACCAAGGTTGGGCCATAAAAGAGCTATTATGCAAAAACAAAACAAATAGATTTTGAAACTAGAAAAAAAAATGAAGATATTATAGCCCCAGAAATCTGTTGTAAACTAATGAAACAGAATATGTGTACTACTCAATGATATCTTTATGAGGATAGGGCTACTATTATGGAAAGCTCTCAAAGCTTTTGTTTGGAAAGAAGTATCAAAAAAATACCTTTTGCGGACAAGAAGCATAAAGATTTTAATTGGGATTCTATGATATTTACTGATGAAAGTACTTTTTACCTGAATCAATAACTAAAAAGGTGTGACAATTTTCTAAAAAAAGAAAATTAACATGTTCTTTCAAGTATCTGATAAAGATTTATATATAAGCTGTTTTTTTTTCAGGTTTTGGCAGGTTGGTCTGCTTTATGTATAACTTTAATACACAATATCTAACTACTCTGTATGAAATAGACCTTCTGCCTTCTGTTATAGATCTTTTTAATAAATATTGTAATAGTTGGATCTTGCAGAAAGACATTGATCTGAAGCATTGTTCAAAAATTGTGAAGGTTTGAAAGAAAAATAATATCTAAATTCTTCTCTAGCTATTGTTGTTACTTGACCAAAACCCAATTGAAAAAGATAAAGATAAACCTAGCAAAAAAAAAAATTAGAACCTTTAGTTATTTGAAAAGCGAAATAACAAAGGAATAGAATAGCTTACCTAAAGAATATACAAAAAATTTAGAAGTATGAAGGGTTATGTAGAAGCTCTAATTGAAGCTAAAGGCAATTATACAATGTATAATTTTTCTTGTAATACAATATATTTTGAAATAAAAAAAAAATTTTATTTATCTTACCTCTGTGCCAAGTTAGAGGTGCAGGGAAACTTTTGTCAGATATTATACTATAGCTTTTTTACATGTTCGCTACTTCTTTCACTATTCTAGTTTTGTTAGTATTGTATCACCCTTCCAAGCAAATACCTAGCACTATTCTATATTAGGACTTATATGTACAATCTGTTGATCATTCTTCCAAGCAAGTATCTTACAAGTTGGGTGCAGAAATATTGGTATTGTCAAATATAGAGGTGATAAGATATTAATATTGCCTCTGAGTTATCTTAACCAGAAAACTTACTCATACAATCTTCTACAATCTTGACTTTCTATAATACTGCTATCACACACTTCATGATTAGGCTTTTTCTAAGAATTTCTATTTCAAAACCATACTTGCATTTGAACTTTCTACAAGATTTCACATCTGATTATGGCTCTATAAGGTTATAGCAACAAATTTTTATTTGCCACTAGCCCAACTCGAACTATTGACCTTGTCTGTGGGGTTTGGGAACTTAACCGATAAGCTACAGGGCTTAAACTCTTTCTAGTTTTTAATAAAAAGACTAAAAGAGGATTATTTATATATAATATATTAGTATATCTTCTTATATAAGAATGAAAGAGTAAGTGGTTTGGTTTTATTTAACACTAGAGGTTGTAAAGAGTTAGAAAATAGGAAAATAGAGTTATATTGTACTGCTTTAGATATAAACCATAGTTTTTATATATTGCTATAACTATATTATGATAAACAAGAAATATATATTTATATTTATTGCTATTTTTCTCAAAAGATGCTAGAATATTTTTAGTAATTGGCCCTAAGAGTATTTGTTTGTTAATATAGAGATTAATAAAAGCCTGAATGAAAGTATCTAAGTAAAAATAAAGTAATTTTATTTTGTGTGAAGTCTTTTGTACTGCTTGTGTAATTAGAATTATAAAGTATAAGTGGTTCTAAGAGTATATTAAGAAATAAGCGATATTTTTAGAACTATTCAGATATTTTAAGCAAAAGTAGTTAAAGTGTTTTGTAATATTTTTTAAATAAAAAGAAGATAGATAAATAGTTTTTCAGAGAGCAGTTTGATTTTAAATTTTTTATTGCTAAAAAGAATGGATTAGTATTTAAAGCTAGTAGTCTTTCACTATATATAATATATTGTAGTGTTTGTAGCCAACTAATATTTATTTGAGAAGTATACCAGTTAGCAATTCATTATTAATTAAACTAAGTAAATCAGTTTGTGATTTGATATACTTGTTTTAATATAGTTTTAGCAAATAAATACAAAAATTGCTAAGAAATTTTGAAATGAAGCAAAATATTGAGGTGTAGAATCTAGCAAAAAGATAGTATTTGTAGTTTTTTGGATTTTAGTATTTTTGTCAAAAGTAATTATAAACTTATAGCTATAGATTAATGTTTTTAGTATTAAGAGAAGATAGATATGTTGTTGTTTATCTAGTATAAGATAATTATATAGCAGAACCAAGTATATTAAGTTAATCAAATTAGCAAAAAAGAGTTTATTTGTATAAATTTTGATTAAAGTATATAGATTTGTTGTTATGAAAATGAAGTTCAACAAAGTAAATAGTATATATATATATGAGGACTAGAGGTTAGTAAAACAGCTAAACAAGATATAAATATATTGAAAATAAAACTCTTTTCTGAACCTCTGAAAATTATTAAGTAAACAAAAATTTATAGTGAATACTTGTAAATACAAAGCTAAGATAAATCAAGCCTAAGTAAAACTGCAAAAAGATAGCAAAGACCAGACCAATACTACTAACTATAAGAAAAGAAACAACCAATATCTTCAAAACTTACTAGTAGTCTCAATACTAGAAGATGTTCTTCAACACTACTATCACGATAAACTTCCTCCTTACAAATGTTACAAAAACAGTATCATGTCTGACCTCCAAACCTTAACAATAGCCAAGACAGTAAGTTAGCATAACCAGATACACAAGCAAACATCATGAACCCAAACCAATCCACTCAAGATTCAAATAGTAATACCAAAGCAGAGTTAGCAAACCAGGAACAATCATCAATAATCAAAACAAACTAAGTGATATTATCACAACAACAAACCCCGATACACAACTAAAACAAATAGTAATTCCCACAGTAATGGATATAGCACCTAACTCTCAAGTAAGTGATATTGACCAATCAATAGATATATCAGATAGCTATATATTAAAACTCATAGTCAGATATTTGTATAATTGGCTGGTGTAAATCAATTGTCTGAGTAACTTATTTATATGTTTTAAAGTACTTTTTAAGAACATAATGTTTCACTAACAGAAAATTACTGAAAATACCATTTTTAACTTTTAACAAACACTAATATTCACTGCAAAAAAGAATCCCAGAAATATCTCAAAACTGATATAGTTTACTTAGAGGGAACAATATATTCAACATTTATTGGACTATATGAAATAATTTCATAAATATTGTAGATGATTAACTAACTAAAGAAAAGTAACTAAAATGTGTTTGTTAAAGGTCAACCAAGTTAAAATAAAAAACTATTACTGACCATTTAACTCAGTATTGTAGGCGTAAACTCTTTTCAATAAAAGAACTAGGTTTATACTAGAGTTTGTTGGGTTTTTGTAATGTTTAACTGTAAATTAGAGTTTAGTTTATGTATTGTAGATTCTTTAATAAGTTAGGGTTTATTAGTAATAAATATGATATTTATCCACTTTACATGTATCTATCAATTCTCTAAGTATATGTGATAAATTCTTTTGCGTATATTTATTAGTTTGTAAACTTTTTTATATGGAGTTTTTTTTCATTTTCTAGTAGTATTAGAATGATAAATTCTTTAAAAATTATATAATTTGATTAGCTAATTATCACAGGAAATTATAGGTAAATTTACAAAAATTAGCCAATCATATGAATATCTTACCATGATATTAAAACTACTACCAGATGAGAACTCAACCATACACCAGCAACTAGCAAATTGGAAGAAATCAAACAGACTAACCTATAGCCAAGTAGCTGCACAAAAAACAACCCAAAGGGATAAGAATCAAAACAACTATTGGGTAAAAGAAATCTCTAACATACTAGAGAAATGCAAAAAAGAAACTTTTAACCACGAAACTTGAAATAACAATAATATATTAAAAGCACTTACAGAAGAATCACTCTTTAAAAAACTAATAAGTTATAAGTTACAGACCACTATTCCAAATATAAATATACCAAAAGCAATTGCAAGTAAACTCAAACACCATGATATAGCATTCTTTAAATCATTTACCCAAGACACAGATACCCAACCCAGCTACTAGCTAGAATTCAATACCCTAATGAACATAGTATTAGAAAGGTACAGATACAAACACAACATAGTTCTAGTAAATAAAACTAATTGAGACCAAATTTATAACAAACTAAAGAAAAAGATTACAATTGATAGTATCCTCACTCTAAATATAGCCCAATGCGGTGACTACGTTAACACTCAGTATATATTTTATCTGATGAACTTTGGCAAAATAGAACCAATGATTGAATTCAAACAAGCATATAAACTAATTAGCCAAGCTCAAGCAGAAAGTTGCACAGATTTACTAGAAAATTCAAACAAAATCCAAGTAGACATATTAGATATACTTCCCTTCACATTACTACTAAATGATAATAGCAAAACAGCAGCAGTAGTTCAGTTACTCAAACTTATATATACCTTTACAAGTTTGCCAAACTCATACTTTGTAAATGCTTGTACTCCCTTGCCAGACTATCCAAGCTAGCTACACTCAGACATCAGAGCAATCTTCTCAATTAAGAAATATAGCAATTTATAATACTTAGTCGAGTACTGAAAGAAACTTCAAAAATACTATATCATTAAAGAGAAATTACCAATAACTTATTTTAACTTACCTCCTGAGAAACTAAATCTACCATCTATACTACAAGAACTTAACACAAGAGTCAGACACCTCTTTCTATACAAACCCAAAAGTAAGAGCGAATTTAGAGATTTGGTAGCAACCTTTAGATAGTATTATAAATTTAAGAGGCTTCCAAGTGACTACATTATCAACAAAAAACCACTACTAGCTCAACCTTTTCAAATAACTACAATCAGAAGTTTCAATTTCCTAATCAAAGACAAAACTAGTACACTACAATTTATTGCAGAAATCCAAAACAAATTCTGTATACTTGAACCATTATCCCTAACTATATAGATATAAACTATACAAACAAGCTTAGCTTATCTAAAAATCATATACAGATTAAAGAAATGAACTTAACAATACCAATAACATCATCTAAACAGCTAGTCAACATGGCACAAGAGCTACATACCTACTATTTCTTTCACCAATTATTATCAGAATAAATCCAAATCAATAATAATAAAGGAACCAGTAGTATCAACAAAGGCAAAAAACTACTATTACTACCAAATATCAAAGAATTACAAAGCCAACTAGCTATACTAGACCCAGATCTACAAATACAATTGCTAATCAAAAAATACAAGAATATTGAACCTACACTAGATAGTATTAGACATATTTTAATATTACAACTTCACCAAACTATATTTATAACTTACCAGATCTACCATCACCTGACTAGGATATTGTTGACAATTATGCACCTGATTTACTATGAGTAGAACAACTAACATTACTGACTCTCTATATATATATTTACCCATAAAACACCAATTAATAAAACGCACAAAGCTATTCAACCACCCAATTATCACCCACCAACCCATAAAGATACCCGTCCACAGCATAAAGAAACCTACTTGCAAAGATACTGCCTCATAGAGATATCTCACCTGTAAATAAGTTACTTAACTAGATATACCCATTCACTTGTAGAAATATCCAACCATCCAAGTCCCACCAGTAGATATCTAACAAATCATCCACCTACCCACCTGTCAAGACACCCAACTATCCATCCACCTGTCAAATACCTAACTATCTACTACCCATCAAGAGACCAACTATCCATTCACCCGTCAAGACACCAACTATCTACTCACCTGTCAAGACACCCAACTATTAACCTATCCTCAAGATATCCACCGTCAAAACACCCAACTATCTATTTACTCACTAGTATAGATGCCTATTGACCCACTTATTAGAATACAAATAAAGATAGCATGAAAAACAAAGAAAAGAAAAAAAACAACAAACAAAAAATAAAATAAATAAAATAATAAAAGAAAGAATAAAAGGTAGAAGAAAG